GGCTGAAGATGATATGTTAAACTTTGTTTGTGCCCTCTCCCTCTTAGCTCTTCAATCTACTTTTACTTGTCTCTTCATAAGCTGCTTGCACTAAAACAACAGCATGCCACTGAAATGATTTAACTCCTAGTTGTTCAGTTAGGCACATTTTAACTTATGGGATAGTGACCTGTAAATGCATACTGTTTTGTATTAACATTTTGTTTTGTTAGCATTCATTCATATTTCTTGTGAAACAGATGGTGAGTTTCTGTAGCCTGTCAAGTCAGTGTGAGGGTGTGTCTTTTACACTAAGACCCTCTAGAGCAGAAGACATCAGTCATTTTCTGTGCGATTCCCAGGTTACTTTCTAAGTTACAATTACTTTCCATTATAATAATATTCTATTTTAATAGTATTCCGGATAACTTCTTCCCCTTGTCTTTCCTCCCTCACCCACAACGTTATGTGATGGCTTGAAGCTGTGGAGCATACCTACACTGAAGTCTGCCAAAGGCATATTATATATTTTTGGTATCTTAAAAGCTGTATTTTGAAACAGGTTAAAAGGCGTGACAACTGAAACATATGGGACAGTTTTTATCACAGCAACCTTTTGGTATGCAGATCTGTCTGGTACTCATTGAACTAATTAGATTAAACAAAGGCTTTCCTGAGATAATCACTTTGCAAGCCCTTTCCTATATTACAGTGCCCAGCTTTTTTAGTGTGTTGTTGAGGGTCAAATGCTAGTACCAGCTAATGCTTAATATCTGAATGCATAGTGTTTGAGCAGATGTATAAATTAAATTGAATTACACAAGATCTATAGTTACCCAAGCTTTGACTTTTGAGGTATGAGTTTACCTTGTTTTAATATTGATTAAGAAAATTGCATTTCCTGTAGGTTGGTGAATATTACATGTAAATCTAACTATAGGAAAGGCTTGGGTAGGGGTCCAAGGTATGCTAGGTCCTGTGCATCTGGGTAATAGTAATTGTGCCACTCTTAAACTCTACACTTGTCAGTGCATGGCCTCTGCGAACTATCTCTTCAAGGCAGCCTTGATTTTAATGACTGTAAAACACATATTATAGCTTTCTTTCAAATAGACGGAATGACTAAATACTAAATCACTAATTATTAAATACTTTTACCTGTTATGAACTCCTTTTTGAAGCCTAATTAATGTTCAAAACTGTCTTGATGGTAGCTGCTTTTTGGGGCAGGAGGTTAATGTGAGTCTATGTTTAAAGTGTCATTACAGGAACGCTTTAAGAAACATGTTGCAGCTTCTAGCTTGATCAACACAGTGGAACTAAATAGGCTTGTAATCTATAGTCTCTTCATGCTTTGGTAAGCATCTCTACATGTAGACTTCTGTTTAGAGCTTGTCCTTTCTCCAGTCCAACTACAGAGGCTTATGAGGTAGTCAAACTTCTAATATTGACAAAATTATCTAACCTTTGTTTCATGGGTTATGGCTTTGAATTGTTATCTTTGTCTGGTAACAAAGCACACTCCCTTAGCAATAAATATTAATTTGATTTGGATAAGAAAGTTAAGCTGCAGTATTCCTCATAAGCAATTGCAATGACATGATATGTCACAAAGTTATTACAGCCACAGAGCAGCAGGGTCTTTTCGGAGAGATTTGCATAAGTAGCCAAATCCTGCCTATGGGAGTAGGTGCTGCTACTCAAAGGTGCCTCTGCAGCTTAAGTTTTTTAGTCACTTGAGTGTGAGAGACAATAGCTTTAAAGTTGTTCCTTGTCTCAGTGATATATAGACGAAGGATTATCCAAAAGTTGATGTGTCTAATGAAAGACTCCTCTAAGTCATCCTGTGTGCAGCTTGTTAAAGCTGGACACTAACACATAATTTCAACTGAATTAAACTTTAAATAGACTGGAACTTCAGCTAAATGACTTTTAGCTTGATAATTGTTCTTTGAATTTAAAATTTGAGATATTAGCAGATTGGAATTTAAGAGGTGAATTGCTTTGAACTGTAGTGCTCCAGAGCTCATGCTACTCAAATAATGTATTTCAAATGGCTGCTGCAAGAATTGAGAACTGGAACAGTGGTCAAAACAAATAAAGTATTTCATTAGTTGATAAGGTAAATGCTATTAGATGATCTATGTATTTCAAAAACCACTTTCTTTTATGATACTTGAATTTCACTGTAATGGTTTCATTATGCATCGCCACTAATGTTACAAAAGTGGACTGTTGAAAGTTGCTTCACAGGAAGTGATTGGGTGTTGCAAGATTTTACATCAAACTGCATTAAGAATATTTCTTAAATAAAGTTTCTTTGCTGTTTCCTACAGAAAAATGCATGTTAAACTAAGTCCATTCTGTACCTGTGTGACAAGAAGCTATTGTGCTGTCTGTTGAAATGCTTGGTGAAAACGGGCTACCGAAGCAGATTTCTTCTGGAATTATTTCATGTAACAATTGATAATGTTTAAACAACTTTTATGATTTGGAGCAAAACTGCTCTTACTCAGTATTAAGAATTTGAAGAGTCTTCATGCTGTTCTTTTCAATCTTCCACAACTCTTTCCTAACATGGTTGTGCCAAATAATCTGTAACACTGCTAGCACTGATCTGCAGAACCGCACTTTTTTGTGGTGTTGATGTAAGCTTACTGAATTTGTCTGTGAACCTTAAGGGTTCATTGGTATGTTAGGGTGCTATTGAGGTGCTTTGGAACATCTGAAAAGCCCTTTCAGTATAAACACTGTACTATTACTAATAAAAATGGATTTAGATGCATAGAGAGGCTAGAAATTGGAGTGCAAAGCAAATTGAGTTATGATTAGGTAGTGTTACTGCTCTCAAGTTTACTTGCATATGAAAGCAAGTCTTGTCCACTCGATATACATGCAGAGAGTGAGAGAATAAGTCTCAGAACTTTTTGATGACATGTGAGCAGTGACTAGAGCTGTAGCTTTTCTTATCCTCATCTCTTGGATTTGGGTGTATTTGGGCATCAAGTGCAGGGCTCCTGCTAGAGGCTTGAACAGAGCTTTTCTTAATTAAAGTTGAATCAAATGTGATGTAATTGGTTGTGGGGCATTCTGCTTGGTCTATTTTTGCCTAATTAGCAGCTGCAGCATCTTCTCCATAGCTATACAAACTCATTTGCCTGATCTGCTTCTTGTTGTACTGTCATAGCTTATGATCAGATGCCAGCTGATAAATCCTCCTAGGCTACCAGCTGGCCAACAGCATCCAGCTTTTGGGCATTAGATAACAATGTGGTACGTCTTTAAAGAAAAATCTTTCATACATGATTTGCATGAATTTCTTCACTTGCAGGATACTCTAACAGGACACATTAGAGTCAGCTACGTATTAATCAAAACTACATCCTAGCATGCAGGTTAACACCATCATCATGGACTCTTCAGCTGTCGTAATATTTTTTGGCAATTAACAGAGAAAACAATTAAGATTTAAATTAATTTTTAAATTAGTTACTTTGATGTTATAGGATGTTGAAGTTTTTTGCGTATTAATATGGGTTGCTTTATCCTTTTTGTCGCTCTTCGGAAAATGGCCATAGACAGTGCTTTTCTCAGAGTCTCCTGTGATGGGAAGAGAAGAGCAGTTTTAGTTCTGCTGGAGACGAGACAGTCACTTGTAGTCAGAGGACATCAGTTCAGGGTCTTCCAGCATCAGTGGTTGTCCTCAGTGAAAATGAAGTACTGTGATACGGTGCTTTAAATGGTAGATTTACTGTAGCTGAAACTGATTGTTTCCAGAGCAGAGATCTGAGTTGTTCCTGGAACCAAGGCCTTAAATTTCAGGTAATTAGGTGCTTATACCTGGACTTAACATAGACACAGTGGTTCAGCTGAACAGTCCCCTAACTCAGCAGGGCAATAGCTAGGAATTTTTTGTTTGACTCTTTGCCTTTATAAAGCAATGCAGTCAGTGGTAACTATTTCCCTTTGCTAGGTATATGACACCTGAGAGTCTTGTTGACCTGGAAGTGTCTGAGTTATTGTTCATCTGAACCTGTCACTCATAATGTTTTGCAGGGCAATATATTGTTACATGTGCTCATCATGCACCATTATGTCGATAAAGCTGACTTACACAATCAGATGTCTGTGTTTGGCACACAGCAGATCTTTATATAGGCATGAAGAGTTTGTGTGTGCACTGTACCACTGTACTATTGTGTAGATACATGTGTACATGCAAGGTGTGTCAGCCGAGCAGGAATTATATATAGAATGCCTGTGCAAGTTTAGAGTCCTGTGGGTAATTGTTAATTTCTCAGCTACAGTGCATTGATAATCAGACAGAAGAACTGCTCTCAGTCTCCTTATCCCTTCTTTAGGAAGGTGGCAGGTATTATGCAATTTCCCACTCTGTTCAGAGAACTAAATGCAGATACTATGGGAAGCTTGAGTTGGGATGAAATGGGCTGGAGCAAGGCTAAAACTGTCTGGATGTGAAAATGTTTTAAGACTTAGGTCTGCCTGAAGATATAATCCTACTTATAATACAAGAGTACTGCATGGGCTAGCTTAGTGTTGAAATGGTTTTTCTTGAGGTTTGCACAAATGAATTAATGGGAACACACAAAAGCTTGCTCTTCCCAAACTATGAGGTGAAAACCTCATTGAAAACTGGGGATTTTTAACTTGAGTATGTTCTTACCCTATGTGATATCAGTTGTGGATGCTACAAACTTTATTTACATGGAAACGGATTTAATTTTAGGTGATTTTAAAGGCTTCCTCTTGATGATGGACTATATGGACATGCCAAGGAAAATGCAAGTCTTAAAGACAGCAGTTGTTCTAAGAAGTTAATGGTTTAAGGAAATAAAATAATGCAAGGTTGTTTTGGTATGGGAAATGTCCATTTTATACCTTGTCACTCTTGCCAGCTGAATGCAAACTAAAAATATTATAGGAAATTAAGAAATTTGTTCTGTATCCTCAATACAATGAGTAGGGTTGTCTTAGGTATTTCAGTGTAGCTGTTATGTAACTGAATATGTGTTTATTCTTTCCCTAGATTGTACATGCCTTTTGGTTTTGGGGAACAGAACGCGCCATGGGACAACCTCAAAGATCTCTCCAGATGGGATCTCTTACTTGGGTGATGTGTCTGCTCTCCTGACTGTCTTAATACCCAAAGGATTTATTTTCCTTTTGGAAATATTTTAAGTTGAAATCTTGTTCCTTACTGGAAATCGTCTACACTAAAGACTGCATGCATCATGGGTGACATGGCAAACAACTCGGTTGCATATAGTGGTGTAAAAAATGCTGTAAAAGAAGCTAATCATGGAGATTTTGGAGTTACTCTTACAGAGCTCCGTTCTCTTATGGAACTTCGAGCTGCAGATGCACTGCATAAAATACAGGAATGCTATGGAGATGTACATGGCATCTGCACAAAGTTGAAAACTTCACCAAATGAAGGTAAGCCAATTTTAACACTATTATTGAGGAAACTCCATTTAGGAAAAACCTTAGTCAGCAAACTACTTGTTTTAATATAACCAAGTTTATAGAAGTATTTTAGTTACCATAAGAAAATATTGCTTCTTATTCCTCTAAGGCAGAGGTATTCCACAGTAATAAATAAGTGAGAGTTTTTTTCGATTGGTCTAAATGCATGTGAGATGCTGTATTAGTGGTGAAGTTGCACTTTGGAACAAAATTCATTGGTGTAGGCATCCACATATGAAGTAGCAATGCAACATAGCGATGTTCAACTTATTGTGAAAGCATAAATTTTGTGAATAGCTCATATGACCTATAGTTCACAATTCAGATCATGCTGTTGTAGAGGCCAAGGTTTTAATAGTCTAATGCAGGACTTATTAATGCTTTGGTGTTGCCACCTAGTTCTTGCATTCCCTATTGCAACAATTTTTAAAACTGGTGGCATCTGTTTTCTATTTGTGCTACACTGAGTTCTTAATAGCAGGATCTAGTTTTTAAATCTATAGTATTTCTGTAAATTTCATTTGAGCTGTCCGAAATAACTATCAATACAGCTTTAAGCATTAACATGTACTGTCACTCTTAGTTGAAGGTTTACAAAGTGATTACACAATCTTATTCTCTGGAAATAAGCATCTTTAAAGTCTTTGCCGTGTTTGACTGAAGTAGCCTTCTGTTGTGTGGCTACCTGATGCTTTTGCTCTCTAGGGTTACTACTCCAAGACAGACTGTACAAATGTGAATAAATAAATAAATAAATTTATCAAGTCTTCTTCCTGAGAACCCTCCAGAAGTTTTCCTTAAGGACCTGGCCATCTCTTACTACTTTCTTCCAAGCTCTAAGTGTCAACTTGTGAAAAATGCAAGTCACACTTCATAAAATATTTAAACTGTAATATCTACAGTAAACTGTAGATAGATAAAAGTACTTAAAAGTAACTGGAACTTATTGTGAAGTCCTGCTGTTAGGAGTGATTGAGAATTACCAAAATCAAGATGTCAGCAGATTGTGGTGTCTCTGCATTTAAGCACTCACATAGCTTTTAACCAATGTATTGTCATGTTGGTGGCAGTAAAATACCTGCTGTCTTAATCCTGGAGAGCCGTTGCTTTCTGTTCTTCACAAATGCTATGGAAAGATTTGTCTCCTTGGACCAAGAACAGCCTACCAATGCCGTAAGGTACCTCTGGGTACATTTGCATTTAGCATGTTTTGTCCTGGTCTGCTTCTGAAACCAGATTTCCAGACTCCTGAAATTATATCAGTACATGAACTGGGTTTCTCTTACCAAACTGAAAGTAGCCAGCTGACATGGCTGACCTACCAGTGAATGGGAGTAGACCAATTTCAGGATGAGGAAGTTTGTAAAATATAAGGAGTGCAAAATTCTGTTCCTTGGCATTGGTGGAGTTGTGAAGTATGTGTGTGAAGCACTGCAGTGTACAAGCAGTGTAACACGTTAGATAGGACCAGTAGTCTCCTGTTACCCTGTCGACCTGCTGCATAATACTGAAAGGCAGTTTCCTTTCTCAGTGGAAAGGGATATAGTTTTCTATAATCAGGAGTTTAACCGAGAGTTGAATCCTGTTTTACAGTGATCTACAAGGTTTAAGGTTCATTATTACTAGGCGGGCATACAATTTTAGATAGTCATGATGCACTAAGCACCAAATACCTTGTAAACTGCAGGTTTCACTTTGTCTCTTAATGTAACAAACAAGTTGACACATGGGAATGATGAGTCTCAGCGTACTAAAACCAGAAAGGGTTAGATGACCTTTCCTGCAGATTGATTGGGCAGTACCAAGGACTGCGTGATCAAGGCCTTTCCCTTTCAAAAGGATTTGACATTTAGATGTACGCTGCAATCAGTTAAATACAACAACTAGCTTGATAAAAGGGCACCATCTTTTTAAGTGTGAGAGAAGTTCATAAACACACCGAGGCCTCAGCAGTTGAATATGTTAATTAGCTTCGAAAAGGTTAAGTAAGATGAGTTAGAGCAGTGTCCTCTACAGAGGTATCATTTTGACTCTGAATCACTGCATGAATCTTTAGAGAACCAGCCTCTCTGTCAGGTAAGCTGCTATAAATTTCTCAGGGAGAGTACTGGAGAGATCTTGTAAAGGTAGAACTAGGTCTTCACTTTGTCAAATTCAAGTTGTAAGTATAGAAAGGGAGACATTTCTAATGGAAAAAAATCTAGGCAAGATCTGTGCAGAAAACTGCTACGTGTTATATTAGTGTACACTAGAACTGTGTTACACTAGTTCTAACTCTTTGTAATCTTCAAGGCCCTATGACACTTCTTCCTAATTAGATGCTTTCCTTATGATATGAAACACTGACCACTACGCAATTACTACTGGCTTCATAGGAAAAATACAGGTAGTTCTGATGTGCTACATAGTGGATGAGTTCATCTTGTTACTATGAAGTTGTTGATAATGTAATATCTGTTTTCAGACAAAATTTGGGTCAGACCAATCTGATTTGAAATGAGAAATGGGAACAGTCCTTTACCAGTATTACTTAAAAAAAGGACACTGAGTAGACTTTACTGCTTACATGTATACTAATGTGCAAAATGAATGTTTGACATATCTTTAATGGCAAAAGCCCATCTTATATTCTGGACAGATAAACCACCATCATAGTTTTGATTGTCTAGTAACTTCTAGATTTCTGATAAAAACTGTATATGAATATTGTATATTAACTAGTCCCTTGCCTACACCATCTATAACGCTGCTGATGCTTTTGAGAAAGCACGCAGGATCACCCTTGAGGAGAAAAGGCAACGCAGAAAGATTCGTGCCTTGCAGAATATACCACCTAAGGAGTCTTTCTGCTGTACCTTTTACAACCAGACATGCCTGTCTCGTATTGGCCTTTTCAGCCACCAACGCGCTTGTAACAAACGTGGGTAGAGCCCTCCCCAAATCTTCGTTCGTGAAGCCCAGCCATGAGTCCCTTGCCTAATATTTTTCACACTTGACCTCAAATAGCATAAATTACTGTAGTTAAGACACATAATGAACAATATAATGGCAGTAGTTTTGACCTCAGGACTGTAGAGTGTTAATTGTGAAATTGCCAGCTGTGTGTTAAATGCACCAAGTTCATTAATGGTGCGTGGTGTATTATGGTGTATACTAAAATTACAAATAATTTTTGTCTTTGCTAGACTTACTAACATTTGCTAAGTGGTTCTGATAGTAGCCTAGACCTTATATGGCCTTGTTGAGAAATGCTTTTCATTCTTCATAGACCCGTGCTGTATTTCCAATGTTCTACACTGTGGTACCCTGCAAAGGGAGGAGGAAAGTGATGCTGCTGACACCATGTAAATAATCTTCCAAACTTTACCATGTTAAAAGGAATAGAGAAGTGATATCTATTGCAAAATCACAGCATGACCCAGCCATTTGGAATGACCAAGCTGTCCTGAGTCTCTGTAACATATAGCTTGATTTTGAAAATAGTCTTGTGGTGCTCTTTGAGCTGAAAGTATGCACCTTAAAGCTTGAATTGCAAGAAGTGTAGTGTTATGGCTGATGAGGACAATTGTTCCTTTGTATTAAACCTTCAAAGGCATGAATGCAGGGTGAATCGAAGAGTGTTAGAATAAATCTAATGTATTATACACACAAAGAGTATGATTAATACATTTCACTTTTGAAAAGATCTGCCCATAATATTTTGCTTTTCAGTTAAGTGATTACATAGCAGTTGTTAGCTTTTAAAAGTGAGTTTTGCAATTCAGTAGTCTTATCAAGGTGTCTTCACAGAATCACAGAATATACCAAGTTAGAAGGGACCCACAAGGATCTTTGAATCCCGCTCCTTGAAATATCTTGTGATGTCTTGAAATATCGTGTGATGATTCTAGTAAATGTCCATTACAGGTGTTAAGTACGCCACTTATTGTTGAGAGCAAGTTGCAGTGGCTACTGTTCTTATTGACTACCTAGTACATTTGCAATGCCTTTATCAATAAGCAGTTGGGTTAACTATTAAAAAAATTGTTTCTAAGAGAATAGTTGTCTTTAAGCAGGTACTGATAATCTTGGGGGCAATATGGTTGAAGTATTGAGATCTTTGGTCTGAAAAGCATGGCTGGATGTTTGACCATTTTGCTTTGAAAAATATGCCAGTGGCTTCATTCTGAATGGTGGGTGAGACAACTGTTACAGGAGTAAACAGGAGGGGTACTTACAGAAGACCTTGAGTGCATGACCTTGCACTGAATATTCTTGGTATTCCTTTATTTTTAAGGTCTTGGCATGCAGTACCCTTTAGTGAAAGACCCTTACTCTTGCCTGCTAGTGTCTCTTAAGGTTGGCACAAGAATTGAGATAGAGGAGGACTCAAAGAAGTATGCTATATAAGAAAGAGGATAGGTACAGAACTGAGGTGACAGACCCTGCACAGTGGTAAATACAGGCTCTCTCTGTGTGAGAGAAGATAGAAAGTGAAGCTTCAGAAGACTAAAAAACTACTGTCCAGGTGGGAGTAGCATCATAAAATAGTTACCTCTTTCCACATGATGCCTGGAGAGCTTCAACAACTGTTAATAGTATTTTATATAATAAAAAATACACTAATATAATAGTATATTATTATAATATGTGATTATAAATGTTTCATTAATTTTAGGATCCTAGGATGCTGTCTCTTAATACAGAATCCCTGTAGTGGGAAACAGTACTACCTTCACAGGCTGTGGTCTTGCTAAAGCTTTATGGTGCTACTCAGTCTCAATAGTTGTAACTACTAATGATCTTGTCTTGCAAACGTTTTTACTTTGAACAAAGGTATGAGTGTTACTATTACTCTGTTACTATGTCATATTAAGTGACATACTAAGCAGGTAGACCATCAACTTTGTTTTGGCAAGGTGAGAATTATAAAATATAGCTGTTTTTCTAAAGTGACTGACTTAAAGGTGATACGTACATAATTATATTTGAGATATGGCTTTTTGGTATTGTTACTGAAATATGGAGTGGGACTTGATTCCATGAATGGGAAACATCAGTCACTTCTAGTGGGAGGGAGAAATGCATAAAGTGTCAACTAACTTTGTCTTATTGTTAAACAGGTTTAAGTGGAAATCCAGCAGATATAGAAAGGAGAGAAGCAGTTTTTGGGAAGAACTTTATACCTCCTAAAAAGCCAAAAACATTTCTTCAGTTAGTATGGGAAGCACTACAGGATGTTACATTAATTATATTAGAAATTGCAGCCGTAGTATCCTTGGGCCTTTCTTTTTACCAGCCTCCAGGAGGAAATGAATCATGTAAGTAAACTTTTTTTTAAAAGTAGGTATCTACTTTATTGTACTATTGACTTTCCTGGTCCAGTGTGCCTGTACTGTAAATCTGATGGGAGACAGTAAGTCAGTGGAAAAGCAGCTTATTGTTCCTTATTTGAGAGCATACTACTAAAACTCTAGCTTGCCTTAAAAGGGCTACATGAGATTTCCCTGGTCATGATCTGGTATCATTCTGACCAGAATAATGCCAGAGGTAAATTGCAAGCAGCAGGAGCAAGGACTTTTCTTAAATCCAGCAATGTTTCTGTGCAAGTGGGGTTTTTTTTAGCTTTGCCTCAAATATTTAAGAAATTTATAATTTGCAGTCATGGGCTTTCTCTGAGGAGTCAGCAAGTCTTAAATTTTCCTTGATTTGCAATATGACACTGGTAACTTTCTAATTTAAGAAATGAAGATATATTTATGCTTCTAAACAGAAAATAAAGGGATCCGGCCTTCATTGAACTGAATTTTTGCAATGATATCTGACTTGTTAAGACAAAGTGGGATATGTTAAGAAAGCAGAAGGTGATTAACTAGTCTGGCATTCTTATGCCATCACTTAACAAGATAATAAGGACAGGTAACTTTCTATATTGACTTCTCTTGTGTTCAGATAAGCAGGGTGGTTTAAATTCCTCACGTTGCTCTAGCTTTCAGGTTCTTTAGCTTCTTTATGTGTTACCCTTATGGAAAATAAAGGTAAAATCATGAAGAAGGTTAGCACAGAAAATGTTTAGCAACTATTAGTAGTTTCTTTGTTTTGGCAATTTTTTTTTATTGTTGAAATAACTATCCATTTGGACTTAGTTAAATCTAAAACCTCTTTTCTGCAGTATGTGGATCAGTAAATGTTGGTGAAGAAGAGGAGGAATCTGAAGCAGGTTGGATTGAAGGAGCAGCAATCCTCCTATCTGTAGTTTGTGTGGTATTAGTAACAGCTTTCAATGACTGGAGCAAGGAGAAACAATTTCGGGGATTGCAGAGCCGTATTGAACAAGAACAGAAATTCACAGTCATCAGAGGTGGTCAAGTCATCCAAATACCAGTAGCTGACATAATTGTTGGAGATATTGCACAAGTGAAATATGGTAAACATATTTTTAAAGTTGAACTTTCTTTTAGTTTTAAAAAAGGAACAGCAGTCAACATACCCAGTGATCTTTTGTAGGTGACCTTTTGCCAGCTGATGGTGTACTCATTCAAGGAAATGACCTCAAAATTGATGAAAGCTCACTGACTGGAGAATCTGATCATGTTAAGAAATCACTGGACAGAGATCCTATGCTGCTATCAGGTGTGTAGCATATGACAATGCTTGAAGAAAGTGGCTTTTTTCTAGGGTAAACTAGTTTTTTAAAATGTTGAGGTTAAAATCTAGCGAACTGTACCTTGTTGACTCCTAGAAGTATCCCAACCCAGTGTTACTGCTACAAAACTGTCAGAGGGAACAGACTCTTAAAACTGACAAACATTTTGTGTAGCTGCTAATGATTTTCCTTTTCAGATAGCTTTGGCGATTAAAGCTTTAGAGGAGCACAGTGGTGTATATACACATTTTCATTTTGTTAATGTGAAGTTTGACTACTTATTTCCTTAAAGTACTTATGTGATCTGCCATATAACTGCTGAAGTCATGGTGGAAAACCTGATTTAATCTTTCAGGTACACATGTGATGGAAGGCTCTGGAAGAATGGTGGTAACTGCTGTAGGTGTTAACTCTCAGACTGGAATCATCTTCACCTTACTTGGGGCTGGAGGAGATGAAGAGGAGAAGGAGAAGGAAAAAGAGAAGAAGGACAAGAAAAGTAGGCATAATAATCTCAAATTCCTAGGGAAGGAGGGGTGAACTCTTGAATGTTACTAGATAAAAACTTTCTTTTTAGTTATCTGGAGCCAGAAATCATTTTTTAAAATTCATACTTTCTGTAGGTTTCACAGGAAAAAAGACCAACTCGAGTCCAGTGACCTAAGAGTGCTACTTTGAACTCTTGTTGCATGGATTTTTAATTAAACTTCAAATCTCATTGATCAAATAGAGCTTGGAAAGTTTACAACTCCTAACCAGCCATGCTATTTATAAATAGTTAAACCGTCATCTTCTGTAACTTCAAAGTACATTCATGTTTAATAGCAAATATTTGTTTATGGCAAACAGGTTATTATATAATTCAACCTAGTAAGGATCTAGTTCTGCATTTGACGGATAGAAAATGCCCCTTTTAGGGCATTCTTCTGGGACACTTGAAGGGAAAAATGTATCTTTTATACTGCTGTGGATAGTTTAAGCATATATGAGACTGATTTTAATAAAAGATGAGCAGATGGCTTCTCCTGCAGCTCCTTTTCTTCCAGAGGTGAAGTTTTGAATGCTCAGAGGCAAATCCCTGGTGGCACTTTTCTTTAATCCTTATTTTCGGAGGGATGAGGGGCTTATAACTGAGTGTATTTTGGAGCCCTTCCGTGAAGAGTGGAGTGGGCTGTCTTCCTTATTATAAGGTTACTTATCTAAGCTGTAGCCTTTACCCTTAGAATCAAAGCTTAGAAAAGTTAAGTTTTTAAGTAATGTTTTGATAATAATGCTTACAAGGCATGTTCAGGACTGGTACAAATGGTACAAATTTTTCAAGAAACTGCTATGAAGTCTACTGGATGGGACTGAGTCTGAGGGTTCTTGACAGCAGAACCAAAAAACATAAATATAAATCAAAATATACTTTTTCATCAAAGGAATATGAAACAATAATGGAAATTATACAGAAATGTGATTAAGAATCTCAAGGGTCTTCAAACTAAGGAGTCAAGTGTGTGGTCTGTGCAAGAATTGGGATTGAACTCTTGTCTTGACCTAACACACAAATACTTTTCAAGTTTCTAGAAAGATCAGAATTGTAAAAAGTAGTAAATTTCTTCAGAAGGTAGAAAAATGGTTTCAAGAAGAATTGAAAGTTCTAAATGAGTTTCAAGCATGATAGTGAAGACCTGCAACACTTCCGGGGATTAGTGTGAAACAGTTGACATCCTTTGCTCTTCCCCTTACAGAGGGGATGAAGCAAATGACAGTACCGGCTGCTACATCTGATATGGAGAGGATTATAGTTTTTATTAATATTCTGTCAGTGTTTATTATTCTATAAGCAGAAGTCTCTTTGACAAGTGGTGTTTTGGTGTATCCTAAGGCCTCAACGCTTGCAGGGGTTTTTTTTTTTGTCTCCCAAGATAGATAGCTTCCTCTTTCCCTTAAGTTAGGTGCATAATAAGATTCTCCTTGGTAAAATTCAGGTTAAACTAAATTAGCCTCTCTGTGAATGTTAAGGAGATTAAAGGGACTATATTTAGTTGGCTGTGTATGGCTTGGTGCAGAGTGAAAGCAAATGTACAAGGAGATAATGTATGAACAAGGAGCTACAAGTAACTCAAGTGTAGAACTTTGCTCTTGTAAGAGAGAGAGGGTACCTAGGAAGGAAAAAATACTAAATTAGGAAACAATGACAAGTTCTTTAGAAGTCTGAAGTGGTATCTTCTGGAGAAAATGAACATGCTATTTTTTTTTCCTCGGCTGTTGAGGGAATGCTTGGGGGGAAATCTTAGTTATAGAAATCAGACTATGTGTCTACAGTAATAGTGTAATGGAGGTGTTAAATGTCGTGCCACACACACTTGATAACTTGATTTTCTTCTACCTGAGTACTCTTGTAAATTTCAGTCTACATAACCTAGGGCCAAAATTTGGTGAGTTATCAAAGCTACTGAAAATTTCTGGGTTTTGTTCTAAGTTCCTCAATTAGCCTTAGAAGTAAAGTTTGTCACTTGCCAAGCCCCCCAAACAACATAAGATGTGTTGGTCTTCCAGTTACCTTTAATGTTTCACTTGTTAAATTCTTTCATTATTTTGTCGTCCTTCTTTATGATCTCTTGTTGAACTCTGTTTCTGAACACAGGTAGGAGTGATATTTTATTATGAACTCAAGCTAGTCTTATAGTGATGTATCATATTTGCTTACAGATTATGTTCATGTAAATAGAGTTAGCATAGATCAATAATCCAGTGGTATGCCTCTGTTAAACTTTGCTGTAGATTTATAAATATTTTATACTATGGTAGCTTCTGCAATGTTGTACAAAAAAAGCACTGATTCTGGAAGTGAGATCCTGCAGTTCATTTGCAGTAGTAATCAGATACTGGTGGCAAGTGTTAGAAAAGCAGAGTAAGATGGAGGCAACCAGAATCACTTTTATATAACAAATATATTTCATAGAAAAACGTATCAACAATCTTTTTAAAGCTTTCCTCACAAGCAGTAAGTGTCTGTGTCAGTAATTTGTGCAAACTTAACCATGGTAGATTAACACTGCAGCAGTTTTGTATGGGAAAAGTAAAGTCCAAAAAACTGATAAGAGCTGTTTCTCTGAGCTGACTTACGTTTTACTTTTTTTTTTAAATGCAGTTGCTTGTTTCAGCAGATTAATGTAGTCATTATATATAAACGTAAACTTTAAAATGAATTCTGCACAGCCAATTTAAAACACAACTTGTTCCTCTCTCTGACAGGTAAAAAGCAAGATGGAGCTGTTGAAAACCGTAACAAAGGTAAACGCAGGTTCTCTGATCCTTTCTTGCAAGTCTCTATTTTCTGAGTGTGTATGTAATGAATACAGACTTTCCTGTAAAAATACATATTGAATCCATAGATCCAAAGTGCTTATGCTAAGGATGGCATTAAGTGAAACTGCCCAAAAAAAATACTTAACTGAACTTTGGATTCCAGCACCTACACCCAATACACTTCTTTAAACATTCACATGTAGTATGGCCTGTCTGGATACAAGAATACACAGTACTGGTGTTAAACTCTTTAAGTACCACTGATTTGGGGGACTCCTCAATGGCTAATTTTTTTTCCTACCTTCTAGCTAAAGCTCAAGATGGTGCAGCCATGGAAATGCAACCACTGAAGAGTGAGGATGGTGGGGATGGAGATGAGAAAGACAAGAAGAAAGCAAACTTGCCAAAGAAAGAAAAGTCAGTTCTCCAAGGCAAACTCACAAAGCTTGCAGTTCAGATTGGCAAAGCAGGTATGATGTCTCAGTACCCTCCTTATGCTGATGCTATGTTGGAATTAAGTTTGAACATGCATAGTTTGTGAGGAGATAAAATAATCAAAGCACTCAGGGCTAGCTACTTACCTTAAGTGCAAAGTTCTAATGCATGGAAATATGCTGTTTGCCTGAATATGCTTATGGCCTCTCAAACTGTGTCATGTGGATGGCTTTTATTTTTCCTTGATTTAAATAGATTCAGGCTTTCAAGTGCCAGCTTCCAGGAGAGAAAATTCCAGCTTCATAACATTAGACAACTGTTAGGAGTGATCTTTTTAGATAGGATATGGCAATTAGCAATGTATCTAGAGAATTACAGATTGAGTGAAATCTAGGAAATGTGGTAGGGTCAACTAGGTTATCTCTGGTACTTTCAGAGGCTTAGGAATTTCCACTTAACATACGCCTTGCTGATATGTAACTTTTTTTTTCTATGAGATAATATTCAGCTTTCTTGTCAAAATATTTAGTAGATTGTTGCTGCTTGAAAGTAGACTAAAAGAACAGTGAAGTTCAGTGTAAATTTTAGGCTATATTATCTAGTGTGTGGTGGTTTAATTCAAATATTTCAGGATTTATTTTTGTTCAGTAGAATTATTGAATGATTCAGGCCAGAAGCAACTTCTAGAACCTCAAGAAGGGCTGACTTCAGCATCTGTGTCATTAAACTGCTACAGTCTGTGGACGAAGCAATTAAACTTACAGCTGTAGCACTCCATAGTTATGTATAGCAATGTTAATTTTTCAGAGGAACTTGTACTAACAAATGGTGAATAAAGCTTCCATGGTATGTTTAGTATAAACTACTGTTCTTGTCAAATGTGTTTTTTTCATATATTTCAAAAGCTCTTGTTTTCCTTTATGTACCTTTTGACCCATTGTAATTACCCATGTACCCTTAATACCCATATACTTCATGTATGGATTTTTCTATCCTGCTGCTTTGAGACAGTGCATGCACTGAAGCACTCTTCTGAATCAATTAGCAGTACAATCATTGAAGGCCTGCTGAATTTTTTCACTTCTTATGTCTGCTTAGTCAATTGACTTTATGTATCCTGCTCATAATTAGCTGTATGCTTTTCAATTAAATGGAAGAAAAAATTATTTTAGAAATTGCTAGGTGAAATGCATGAGGAAATACATGCTTTGGAAGTTGGAACATCCATGAGAACTACCTCAATGTTTTGACTTGGCTGTTTAAAATCTTAGTTATAAACTAGCTTCTATAAAGGTAGAAGTATTTTGTACTTGACTTACCTAGTCTGTCTTGCCAAATATTTGAGTTAATTTCTGAAAACTTTTTATTCTCTTTTTAACAAGGTTTGTTGATGTCTGCAATCACAGTCATTATCCTTGTGTTATATTTTGTAATTGATACCTTCTGGGTTCAGAAGAGACCTTGGCTTGCTGAATGTACACCAATTTATATTCAGTATTTTGTGAAGTTCTTCATTATTGGAGTTACAGTCTTGGTAGTGGCAGTACCAGAAGGTCTTCCACTTGCAGTCACTATATCTCTGGCTTACTCTGTTAAGGTAAGTGGATAGAGGGGGAATAGATATTAAAGGTAGATCGGTGTATTCATCAGCTCTTAAATCTAAACTGACTTATGCTGCATCACACAGATATAATAGACTGGGAAGAAGCTTTTCTTGTTGCCATAAACTACAAAGAATTCTACTGCAGTACTTTTCCTCATCTCTGAATACAGGCTAACTTGAACAGTGAGGATTGCCAGCCTGTTGTCACCAGCTAAAGATGAATGGGTTCAGTACATAGCATTGTACCATTTATTTACAATAAATAGATGTTTAAGAGTTTGCAAATAACATTCTTCTATAAGCTTGAACTTCTACCTAGCTGAACTGTTAAGCAGCTGCTACAAAAGCTTCCAGATTGATTCTCCGTGAAGATGGAATACTGTAAACCACTTAGCTTTCTGTTTATTATACAGCATGTTTTTTAACTTAAGCTCTTTGTTTTCTTAATTTTCTTACTGTTTCAGCATGCTGAGACTATTTATTTGAAAATCTAATTATAAAGACAATCAGTTCTTAGGGTATGTCCTAAAACTTAACTTATATCACTGACTAGTAGTGGCCTTGTTGTATCACTTGAACTTAATCTGCCTCTTGGAACAGAAAATACTATACAAGCCTGTTAAGTTAAGAATTTAAAGCAATATTTAACCTATGAAACTTGTGTAGTCCTCACTGTTTTAGTTGAAACATTAGGCTCCCGGTTTGTACTTTGGTTTAAGTCTGAACCTAGTATCTTGGTAGTCTGTATTATCTGTGGTTCATGTAAGTCTAACACAGCTTATTTGATCTTTCTTGTAAGCAGAAAGACTTTTTAAACATTGTATCTGGTAAAGCTCAAACTTTACCTCTCTTTCTAAATGTCATCATAAACTATTTGCTCGTAACAGTTGGAATAGTATCAGTAGTCCGTGTGACATGCAGATACGTGAGATTAAGACTGTCTTTATGTACTTTGTTCAAAATGAAGTTTACTGTGACATAATAGACTTAAAGGAATCTGTAGTGAATGTGACAGCTGCAAATTCTTCCTCTGAAAGATGCCAGATAACTTACTGAGTGTTTTCTGAAACTGCTGTGTAAGACTGGACTTCTTAAATGAGAATTTCTGAAGTGTGAAGTAATGGTTATGAATCGCTGCTAACTGCTTTTATTTCCTTAGAAAATGATGAAAGATAATAACTTGGTGAGACATCTGGATGCATGTGAAACAATGGGCAATGCAACAGCGATTTGCTCAGATAAAACAGGAACATTGACCATGAACAGAATGACAGTGGTCCAAGCCTACATCAATGAAAAACATTATAAAAAAATTCCAGAACCAGAAGCTATTCCAGAGAAAACCATGGCTTACCTTGTGACAGGAATTTCTGTTAATTGTGCTTATACTTCCAAAATACTGGTAAGTGGATTTCTTCATTCCAGTCAAGATAACTAAACTTCCTCAAAAGATGCAAATTGTCTGGGGGCCATGTGGTAGGCAGTTAAGTTGTGGCACAATGCAGCATAAGGTGTTTTGTACCTGCTGTAAATTTCTGAACTCTTCATTTGAGACTAAATGGAAGAAAAATAGCTTATTTCAGTTGCAATTGGTAATTCAAAGATACAATCTCAGGAAGATAACTTCCCCTAAGTTCACAGTTGTGTCTAAGTTTGTTTTTATAAATGAGACTCTTTACCTTACTTGAAGAGCGTCTTGGCTGGATTTGAGTGCTACTTCAAAATAAATATATAAGCGTAGTACAACATTAAGCAGACTGTAATGAAAAAAAGTAAGTATAGCTGAGGATCTACATGGACTTTTTTTTTTCCAGATACCATTCTATAAGTTTGTAGGCTTTAGAATTGTACTATATTTGCTCAAATCTTGAGACTTGCAAAATATTTTGAAATTTAAAAAAATTTTTGAAAATCTTTGAAATTTAAATACTGGACTATTTAGCATTTTTGCGTGCATTATTTTCTAAAACTCTGAACATAGCTTCATTGCTGTAAATATTCCAATGCATTACCTAACATTTTTTAAGGCAATAAAAAGTAAAAGTAGTAATTAGGATTTAGTAAATAAATTAGTACTTCAAGATTTAGTAGAAGCCTCCACTATAAATGCTTTGTATACAAACTGCAGCAAAAACTCCGTCCAAAAGCTGCTTTTCAGCCAATAAAAATGGTACTTCTGTAAGAATTTCCTCAATAGCTGTACTTGAGATAGCAAGTCAAGTTTAACAGCACTGATTTTTCTGAAACAAGATGGAAATACTACTGATGAGTTTATAGCATGTGAAGAGTTTCACAGTCTGTTTTCTAAAGCCAGGGAAAAAAAAAAAAAGGTAGCTGCATGTAAATTGACCGAGTCCCTTCCTGCTATCATTTTAACCAAATTATGTCCAATGCGGTCAGAGTTAGTCTGCTTTACAAAATCAGAGAGGGCTAAAAGAGACTGCTTGAGATCCTCTGTCCCAGTGCCCCTGATCAAAGCAGGATCAGCCAGGGCATGTTGCTCAGGGCTATGCCTAGTCAGGCTCTAAGAATCTCAAAGGATGGAGACTCTGCAATCTTTGGGCAGCCTGGTCAAGTATTTGACTACCCTTAGAGTAAAAAAGTATTTCCATATGTTAAAATGGAATTTCAAGAGCTTCGGTTTGTACCCATTGCCTGTTGTCCTCTCACTGGGCATTACTAGGAAGTCTAGCTTGGCTGTCTTTACATTGTTCCACCCACCTGCCTTATTCAGGCATTTAATACATTCTCATACGTTTCTTCCCCATAGTCTTCTTCAGACTGAACAGTCTTGGCCCTTTCAGGTTCTCCTCATATGCCAGGTGCTCTAGTCCCTCCCTGTATTATCTTTGTGTGCCATGGGTGTACTTGTGCCTGGATGTTGATACCTCTCATACTGGGGAGCCCAGAACTGGACACTTTAAACTGCATGTTATAGTGAACATTTTGAAAGTGCAAGTATTCAGTATTGCCAAATTCAAAATCTTGCAGCTCTGAACAATGCAAATGGATCACTGGCTTACAATTAATATAGTTCAGCTCTAGCTGCCTATGAGTAAGCACTTCTCCCTTTTTGCTGCAAACTACACTGCAGTGTTATAGCTATATAAGCTCAAATATCTCAAAAGAAATACTCCTTTACTTATAGGACTAGTATGTGCATATCCCACATTGTTGAGATAAGAAACTTGTTCTGGTATTAAAGGGTTGGAAACTTGATTCTGAACTCTTTCCAGTTAAGTAGGCCATGGCCTGGAAAACAGAACTTGTAGTGAGACTTAAGAAGCTTAAAGACTTAGTTTGTTCAGAAGAAGGCTAACCGGTGATGTGATCGTAGTCTAAGTCATTGAGGAAGAATTATTACAGGAGAGGATACTTTAATTTAGCAGAAATAATGCAATTTAGCTTGCTTAAATCAGTTCATGTGAACTTACCTGTATTTTTAGAATCGAAAATAATTGTTCAGGGCCTACAGTTGATCTGATAAGTATTTCAAGTAATAGAAAATGCCTTTTAGAAAGATTGTGTTGATTGATACAAATTTAATGGGTGATTTTTGTTTCTGAGAAACAGAGTGAAGGATCCTAAACAGGTATGGAAGTTACTTTTAAAAAAGCAGCAGTACAACTTTGGATCATGACTCGTAGAAATTTATAAAGTAATCATTGAAAAAGTAAAACTTCCCCATCCCAGAGCTAAACTTGGCCTTCCTTGTTTTCTGAATCCTGTGCTTCAGTGGTTTATAAGTTAACTTCCTATTCAATGATGGCTCTTGTTCTTCTCACAGCCTCCTGAAAAAGAAGGTGGCCTACCACGTCATGTTGGAAATAAAACTGAATGTGCCTTGCTGGGATTGCTCTTGGATTTAAAACGTGATTATCAGGACGTAAGAAATGAGATACCAGAAGAGGATTTGTACAAAGTGTACACCTTCAACTCTGTTAGAAAATCTATGAGTACTGTGTTAAAAAATTCTGATGGCAGTTTCCGGATATTCAGTAAAGGTGCCTCTGAGATAGTTCTTAAAAAGTAAGAACAACTACTACTGTGATTCAGCACTTAAATTTGGCTAAATGTTGTGATAGGTGAGGAGACTGACCTGACGTGCTAAATAACATTGTACCATAGTCTGTGAAATATTTATCTCCCTAATCACAAACAAGTGCAGCAGTCCTATACCCTTAGGGTTGCAGCCAGCATCATAGCTTGTCTCCTTGGATTGTTTGACTTGCTACAGTAAGGTGGGCAATTAGCACTTCAAAACCCCTGGTGGTGATTAATTGGAACTTGTAAACTCTTCTCTGATAGCATCTATGAATTGATCTATTCTTTTGTTAACCTATTTTACTTTTAGGTGTGACTGGTCAAAATGCTCACCTGTCTTCCAGTAAAGTCCCAACAGCTGATTCTAACAGTCCTAAATTCCAGGAAGGACTTGTACCTTTGAACAGTGATTACTTCTAGCATACTGTTAGTTAGACTGTGCAAGTTGATGTCCAAGTTGATAATTTTAATGGGAGGTTGAACATGAATGAAGAAACTTGAGGGGCTTTAATGTGACAAAGCAAATTGCTTCCTTATCCATCTGCCCATCTATGGAGGATTTATTAGAATGAGATTAGACTTAGTGAGTGATTAGACAGCACTGAGACAAACCTGTATAGATGTGAAGGCAGCTGTGGTAACTCCTAACTAGGTAAAGAGAGACATCAAACATGTATGCCTCATGTCTCTAGGAACAGCAGTTTGTAAGGAGGCTGGTTTTGGTTCTAAGGTCGAACTATTTCTAGTCTGAGTAGCACATTGATTATGTTAATCAGTTCAATGTACCTTTTTGCTTGCTAGTAACTCTCCAAATCTTTATCTAGGAAAGTTGTAATGCACTTAAGAGAAAAGATTAATTCTTCCTTCTCCTCAAATTAGTGCTTAGAATAAAATGTCAATCTGGAAAGGACTCTTGTTCCTTTTGATGTGGAACTTAAAAGTCCATGCATTTTTTGCATAGCTAGGTTTTAAACCAGATCTCATTGGTGAATAAGCGTGCCTATATTTGCATTACTTCTACCTTCAGAACTATTTTGTAAGTTATTATATTGAACAGTTGAACTGTAGAAGTTGCTAGATGTCATTCATCCCAGACTCATGTGGCCCACTGAACTTCATAACTGAGTTAAAAAATAAATAATAAGGGCATTTGTCAAAGAACAAGAAAACCTAGACTGATTTGAATACTATTGGAATAGTATCCAAACTACTTCAGAGTATGTATCAAATAGGAAAAAGTCTTGTCATCATAAGCCACTTGCTATGCGGTGCTTGTAGCCTGGTTTGTCAATTGTGCTGCTCCATCTTTATTATAACAAGTATGACTGTTCTTGAACACTGAAACTTAAACATGAGCATTTATAAGATGTAAATGAGTTACTAATAAGAGTAGAAGAAATGCAGAAATTCTTTCAAGTAGAGCACTTTTCTTTTTTCTTTCCTTAACATGAAGTCAAATATTTCATAGAATATCCTGAGTTGGAAGAGACCCACAAGGATCATCCAACTCCTGTCCCCTCACAGGACAACCCTAAGAATTACACCATGTGCTTAAGAATATTGTCCAAATGCTTATTGGGCAGGTTTGGTGCTGTGACCACTTCCTTGGGCAGCCTGTTGCAGTGCCTAACCACTCTCTGGGTGAAAAACCTTTTTCTGATATCCAACCTAAACCTCCCCTGACTCAGCTTCAGGCCATTTTCTCGGGTCCTGTCACTAGTCACCACTGCCCTTCCGGTTTCCCATGGGGGAAACTGTAGACCATGATGAAGGCTCTCCTCTCTTCCCCAGGCTGAACAAAAGGAATGTCCTCAGCCATTCTTTGTACGACTTCCAAACTTTCACTCCAACATATCCAGTTTATGGCTGCTTTTTCACATAGCTAATGAACAGTAATTCTCTGATATAAAACTGTTTACTTAAGCCTCTGATTCTGCAAAAGGTTTCACTAGATGCTTAAGTTTAGTTAACTACTGAACTACTAGACTACTATTGGCACCTGTTTCTGTAAATGCTGTGCTAGTTAGGGCCTAATTGCTCATTTCTACATGATCTGAAGACACAAAGACACCTCTGTCTCCATCTCAACCTGTAACATCAGATAATAGTTTTCTAAAAACTAAGCCAGACACCTACTGAAGAAAAATTTGGCCCAAGAAAGTTTTTTTCTGAACAAAACCACTTCCTTCTTAGAAAGCCAAGAACTGAAGGCATCTTACCAGACCAGAAGAATTTGTGGCACATGGAGTTTATAGTGAGGATGTGATTCAGGTGAACATAGCAGTAATCAATGGGTGCTTCTGGCTCAGCCTTCCACTTAAAATCATTCTTATGTTGAATATGCCCGTGTTTCTTCTAGCAGCCTGAGTTTTGGGGGCTTTGTCTCATAATTACACCTGATGTAAGGTTTCAGGACCACTACATTTGAACAGATAACGAAAATCAGGAAATTCAGATGGACTTCAAATTTCAGTTATGATGGATATTTTAAAACTCTAAGGGACTGCTTCATTTTAATTTTCTGTATGAGGTGGAAACATTCTAGGGAATTCCCTAACTCCTTGGACTTAAACACTTAAATGTAATTGTAGTCATCTTGGCAGATCTGCCAGGTCTGAACTTTTTTTTGTTTGGTGCTACATTTGTACTAATTTGTAAAACAAATATGTATGGTGTTGCTTTATGGCAAAACTTTGCAAAGGGCACATGAACAAGACTAATTTTCTTGTTCAAAATATTTGATAGTGTTATATTCATGGCACCAATATAGATAAAGTATATATGCTGTCTATGAAAGCAATGGCATCTTTGGCATGAAGAAACGTAACTTAAAGAACATGTGCTGAAATGCTAGAGTCTATAGTGTTAAATCTAGTCTCTTATACAAACATTTAAATCAGTTTAAGTATTTGTTTTTAATTTAATATTTCACATTACCACATATACCAGATGCTTTCTGAATTCTGAATTTAAACGGGGGAGGAGGGGTGCAAACCTTTCTACTCTTAAAGGTTAGCAGTACCAGAGTTTGCTTTTAGTGTTGTAAGTTTAGTGTTTACAGCTGTTAAGCAGCATGTGCATGTTCTAGAATCGTGCTGTACTTCTGAGACTTGCATAGCTGTTAACAAGGTGAGATTATTTTGTTGAACTGGATTGCCTGACTCAACCAGCGCAAACACCGCTCTGTTTATATGCAATACAGAAGTGGATACTTCTGGGAGGTAACTAATGTTTGTATCCTAAAGTCATTAGCTTTACTTTCATCCTAGGATGACTGGCTCAGTTCACTTTCTACAGAAAGTACGTTTTGCATTTGGGAAGAAATTACGTGCGTATGAAGATTACCTTACAGATGCCACTACTGGCTTTTTTTTTTTTGTGTGTGTGTGTGTCTTAATGAAAACAAAGCTTATGGAGACTTACTGGACTTGAGTAATAAGCCATTGAATAGGCTGAACTTCTGGTTAAAATTTGATAACTCTTTAAATCTTTATTTCCAGGTGCTTCAAAATACTGAGTGCTAATGGAGAACCAAAGGTATTTAGACCTAGGGACCGCGATGATATTGTGAAAACTGTAATTGAGCCAATGGCTTCTGAAGGTCTCAGAACCATCTGCCTGGCATTCAGAGACTTCCCAGCAGGGGAACCTGAGCCAGAGTGGGACAACGAAAATGATATTGTTACTGGTCTGACATGCATTGCTGTTGTTGGGATTGAAGATCCTGTGCGACCTGAGGTAGGGTCACTAACTAAGCTGGAGTAGTTCTGTTACAAGAGATTCATGTTTTTCATCATGCGGAGAGTACAAGAAAATAAACTGCTATTGTATGCCTTAAGCATAGTTAATAAATGAAAATCTAATTTCTTGAGGGGAAAGTTAATGGAGCTATAAAAGCAGATTAAAACTACTTAATGTCACTTATACTGTGTTACTGAAGCTCTGTAGAAACTAATAACTTAAGGTGCTTACTATGCAGGGTCTCAGTAAATGGAACAACTTGACATTTTTTTTACCTCTTGGAATATTAGGACTATTTGGTTAGGATAATATTAGTCTTTGTGCTGGTTGCCAGCTTCTCATGGGAGATGATGGAGAGAGGTGAGTTTGTCGCCTGAGAACTGTGGGTAAGGAGTTTGGCTTTGGTTGAGGTCTAAGGAGGTTTTTCAATAGTGAAAGCTTTTATGCCACATATAAGCTGATCTGCACTGTTGTCACTTTACAGTACAAGTCGTGGGTGAAGTAGTGGAGTATGAGCTGTAGTTTATTTCACAGAATCGTAAATGAAATGCCAATACTCAGTACAGCTTAACATATTGTGAAGATTTTTGTAGTATTTCTGAATACTGCAGTATTTGAAAAATTGCAGGGGGAAGGGGAACTGACATGATAGAAACACAAAACCTCTTTACCAGAATTGCCATTTGTGTGTTTTCAGGAAAAGAATTGTGATGTGCTACTTAATTTTTTAAAAAATTTCCATAACTACAGTCTTCATTTTAAAATAAGAGTTATCCTGGCCTGAGCCATAAACATTCTTTTCACTCACATGTCTAGATTTATTCAGCTAATGTACAGTCTCTGAGCCTGTGGGGTTTTTTTTCTTTTTTACAGGTACCTGATGCAATAAAGAAGTGTCAACGTGCAGGCATAACTGTACGTATGGTCACAGGTGATAACATTAACACTGCTCGTGCTATTGCATTAAAATGTGGTATTCTGAATCCTGGTGAAGACTTCCTGTGTTTAGAGGGCAAAGACTTTAACAGGAGAATACGCAATGAAAAAGGAGAGGTAAACATACTGACTATGTCAAGTGCATCCACAGATATCTAAAGTGTCCTAACTGTAAAATATAACCAATGCTTTTTTTGCAGATAGAGCAAGAGCGAATAGATAAAATTTGGCCAAAGCTTCGTGTTCTTGCAAGATCTTCTCCCACTGACAAACACACTCTAGTAAAAGGTAAGTAAAAACTCTGAGCTTCTAAGTAAAGCTAGATTTATTTTTTTCCCTGCTTCTAGGGGAAAAAGATAGGACTAAGTGGTGGGAAACACCTGTTAAGGTGTTGCCAACTGATTTTTTTTTCTGCTTGAGAAATAGAACCAAGTATAGAACTATATTTTGTGATTGTTGTTTTTTTGTTAGGGGTTTTGGTGTGTTTGTTTTTTTTGAGACTGAAGAAGACAAAAACTGGCTTTCTCTTTCAGGTTTAATCTTTGCTGTGTTGTCAATTTAGAGCTGTAACACTGCTATGTCATTTTATTGCAGGTATAATTGACAGCACTGTCTTTGACCAGAGGCAAGTTGTAGCAGTAACTGGTGATGGTACCAATGATGGTCCAGCTCTGAAGAAGGCAGATGTTGGATTTGCTATGGTACGATTTTTTAAAAATCTTCAATATTTTATCAATAACTTACCAAATCACTTAAGATTAAGAGCTTAACATACAACGAAGTTAATGGAGTCAACTTCTCTCTCACCTAATATTAATTAGTTTTTCTTCCAACTTTAACATGTTTTCAGTTGATGGAAAATGTCCTTGTGGCATTTGCCATTGAATAAAATTTTAAAAATGCAGATTTGCAGTTACTTGCAAATCAAAAACCTTTTACACCAAAGCTTGTTACAAAGTGTCAGAACAGAATTACAGATACTGAAGATATCTGAAATGAGATATGTTCAACATAAAGGGACTTACAGCAGTAAAAGCATACTGTGTTGACTTAACTTAAGCTTATATGCAATATGGAATGAACTTAATCATCTTTCCCATGAAATGATACATAGGAACAGGGAGACTGACAGTTGATGTTTAAACTGGCTTTGGAGGCCATATCAAGTACATCTGAAGCTGCAGCATTTTATGACAATTTAGGGTCTGCATTTGTCTGGATGATTCCTTAGATTATGTGGCTTTCTCAGTTTAAATTCCCAACTACCCTTTTACGTGGTTGCTAAACCATGTCTTGGCTTTTAAGCGCTAATACTAGATAGACTCATGCCTTAAGTATGTAGGTTTCATCTTTCTTGTGCTTCTTTCAAGATACAGTAAGATAGATTCCTCAACCTTCCCTTTGCCACAAGATTCCGTCTCAGTCTTAAACTGAAGACGTGCAGTTTGGTGCTAGCAGGTTACTGTAGTCTTTAAAAAGGCATTATTAAGCATTTGAAGGGAAACAAAATGAAGACCACACTCCTCCTACACCACATGCAGATGCACTGACTCAGATTCTAATCTTGAGAGAAAAAAATGGGAAGAGGAAGAGCTTCACATCATTCTCAAGGAGCATTTTTCAAAAGCATGACTTACAAATTTGACAGCTACATCTGAAATTTTCTCTAAACTGTAACAGTGTTGTCTTAATGAGTGTTCTGCAACTGTATAGCTGTTGTATTTGCCACTGTCAGGGGCCAATTTGTTTTCCTCTTCTAGAACTTAAATGTTTCCTGCAGTTGCTGTCTGTGTTCATCTGTGTAAGAAACTGTTTTCCATAACTGCTTATCTAAATAGCACTTAAAGTATACCATCCACTGTATGATATCTAAACGTGTACACATAGCTGTGCAGGTCACTCATATCATTGACAAAGTAATATATCAAGAGTAAGGATCATTAAATTTGCTATCGAGTTAGAGGTTTTGGAATGCCAAAAGCAACATAAAGATCTTTGAAGTAGATGTTACACAGAAGTCATCTTAGTTGTTTGGATACTGTAGGAGACTACAGGTGCTTAAAATTTAAGAATGTCATATTGCATTGCAATGCATATGCAGTAACATTGTATATTCCACTGTTTGATGCCAATGTTCTTCTGCAAAAGGTTTTTTGTGATGTTTATCATTCTACTGTGTTCCGAGCACTTGTGTTACCTGCTGCTGGAATCCATACAGGAAACCGTTTAGGGCAGAGCCTGAACTGTGTAGCACTGCACCATCTGGTGGCGTTCAGCTTGAACAGGGTTCAGCAACATTTCTTTGGGGAATGGGTGTGTCTTTATCATCAACTTGGGGATTTCTATTAAGGTCTTTATTTTAAAGACATGACTTCTTTTGTTTATTTGTTCAGATTTTGCCATGCTTGAGTAGAACTTAATTCAGTAGGCCTTTAGATACTTACATTAAAGGGATCCTTCCAACATGGTACATCAAAGTGAATGCTGACCAAGGATGTAATGATAGCTTTTATCACATAGGTCTCATAGGTTTTATCACTGGCATCTCGTTATATTTCATGGTGTTTTTCTTTTTCTACCAGGGTATTGCTGGAACAGACGTAGCTAAAGAAGCTTCTGATATTATCCTTACAGACGACAACTTCACAAGTATTGTTAAAGCAGTTATGTGGGGACGAAATGTCTATGACAGCATCTCCAAATTTCTTCAGTTCCAGCTTACTGTCAATGTAGTAGCAGTAATTGTTGCTTTTACAGGAGCATGCATAACACAAGTACGTACCAGTAGTGGATTGTTTCAGCTAATAAATGTTGAAAATGTCATGACTGATTAACTCTTGTCAAACTTTCAGTTAAATTGTAGTCCAAAGAACATAATGCTTTCCAGATCATGCCAGTGTTTTATAATAAATGCCTTTAATGGTTGAAACTTGTGCACTTCTACTGCATGGTTTATGTATCTATCTTTATAGGATTCTCCGCTCAAAGCTGTGCAGATGCTGTGGGTAAATCTCATAATGGACACATTGGCTTCGCTTGCCCTGGCAACAGAACCACCCACTGAAGCTCTTCTGTTGCGAAAGCCTTATGGTAGAAACAAACCTTTGATTTCTCGTACAATGATGAAGAACATTTTGGGTCATGCATTCTACCAACTTGTTGTGGTATTCACACTCCTGTTTGCTGGTAAGAATACTGAGGCTTTATGAAGTTATTCTCAATGTTGTAGAGAGATGTGATTTTTTTAAAACTATTTTTTGTTGTAGTGTGTGTAAAGACACTAATTAAGCTGCTGATAAATGCCTTTTATACACAGGTGAGAAAATTTTTGATATCGATAGTGGAAGAAATGCACCTCTGCATGCTCCTCCTTCAGAGCATTATACTATAGTATTTAATACATTTGTGATGATGCAGCTTTTTAATGAAATTAATGCCCGAAAAATTCATGGTGAAAGAAACGTTTTTGAAGGAATCTTTAACAACGCTATCTTCTGTTCTATTGTTCTGGGGACATTTGTTGTGCAGGTAAGTAAATTCTTGGAGGGCCGGGGAAAATGCATCTAGTACACTGATGTACTTGCTTGCCTGAAATGCCAGTCAGCTAGTGCCAGGGATTTAATTTCTGCAATGTGAAAAAACTTCGGTGTTAGACTTGCTATAAGTCACTTGCAGCTTCATGGTGTTTTCAGGTAAGACCTCTTTGAAACTGGTAAAACCAGAATGTAAAAGAACTTGTACCTTTTGAATTTTCTAGTCCTTCAATTTGACTTTAGTGTTCTAGTCTCTTGGCAAAATATGAAGTTGTGTGTGTCATCTATCCGTTCATCCCCTGCCCCCAAATCTTCCTTATAGTATCTGCCTGTGCATCTGAATGACAGTCCATTTAAACAAGCATAGAAAAAGTACAACTTGTATTTTCTTAATGAGATTAGGACATGAATAAGCTTTAGAAACTTAAATATCAGTCTTTATCTTACTAGTGCAGAAATCAGTTATATGTATTGGTATATATTTTAGAGTTATCTGTAGAGGTGCTGTTTTAGGTGAAGAAAACTGATGTCCAGGTGCATGTACGGGGATTTGTAAAAGCTAAATAGTTAACTCAGTATATGCTAACAAATGAAATGAAATTATCTTAAATTGATTGGGTTAACGAACTGGTGTTGAGAAACACCCAGTTAAAATTCAATCTAAAGAAAATAGTTTACAAGAAATAGTTTCACCTTCTAAAGGGCCTTAACTTTAATTAATCAGAAGAAATAACAAATCAGTATACTACTTTATTTCAGAACACTTTCATTTTAAATTAACTTATTGCAGATGTAAGATTTAACCTACCCATTAATCTTATTTTTAGGGTTGCATATGCAGCAGATTAACTGTTGTGCAGCAAAGCCAAACATTTAGAAATTACTCATACAACTGTGTTCCCTTTATAAACTTGGTGGCCTTCCCAAGTCCTGAGTTTTTGTCTGTGTTTTATTCTGTGTTAATAAAAGAAGATACTCTTTGGCTTTTCAGCTGTCATGTGTCCTACTTAATGGTCAATACTGTCTCCTTTTCATGCCTGCCCTGTTACTTTAAATTGTTGATTCTCCAGGGCAGACTTTCATGCATATAGTTCCTATACAGAGGGATACCTTGCTTATTAGAGTTCATACAGCTTGTTGTAACAGGTAAGTCAGTAGGAACTCAGTTAAACTTTTCTGCCCCCTTCCCCCACAATTCCTATATAGTTGTCACACTGCGGTGATTTAAATCTGACATTTAACACTGATGGGATACATAGTAATATCCTGTAGATTTACTTCTGAAATATTTCATGTCTTACACATCTATGATTTCTATTAATACAAGTTTATTAATCAAATTAGTTCTGAGATGGGTGTTTATAGGAGAAATAATCACTGTAAATTTGTAGCATCAAATACATGCTGTAACTGTGAAATGAAAAAACTGCAAGCAATATGAAGGACTCAACAGGTTTTTGTGAGTGTGACGTTCAAAGAATGACTGAGTAGTTCTTGAAAGACTGAAAAGCCTAAAAGATGGCTTAGGTTTGGAAACCTGCTCAAACTGCTGAGATAGTGGAAGAGTATGCTTAATAAGATGAGAAATCTTATGTTCTAATGCAGAGTTGCCTGTAGTGATCTTGACACATTAGGGAATTTTTTAGTAACAGGTCACTGATACATGTTTAACGATGTTGCTCTTCACAGATAGTTATTGTGCAGTTTGGTGGGAAGCCTTTCAGTTGCTCAGAACTCTCAATTGAACAGTGGCTGTGGTCCATTTTCCTGGGCATGGGCACACTACTCTGGGGCCAGGTAAATTAGCATTTTTCAAAATGCCAAATATCTGCTTGTATTAGTATACTTTACATAGAAAATACAAATACACTAGCATTCAGATCTTTCAAGTGTACTGTATGTGGGTATGTGGAATTAATGGTAAATGCTGATGAAAATTGACTAGTTCAATAGCTAGAAAGTCCTTAGTTTGAATACATTTCATAACTAGGTTCTGTGGCTGATTTGTTGAGTATTTTTAAACTAGAATCAGCTGTAGTTACCTTTTAGATATGAAATTATATCTTCAGCCAGATGAGTGCTAGAAAGTTTTGTAAGAATACAAGATGGAATGAACATGTTAATGTTGAAATACGTTTAACTTGGTGTTAAATTTTTTTTTTTTTAAAAATCAGAGTTGTTAGACTTGCTAATATTTTCTTGATTTCAAAATGTCCTGGAGTAGCAAGAAAGGCAGCAAAACTCAAACCAACTTTCTCTTTAATCTTCACTTGCATAATTGTGAAATAATTGGAAAGTCTTTCCATGTATTAAGCTATTACATTTTGACTTACCCCCTCTTCCCCAGGGTTTCATTACTATTGCATGTATGACAGTGCTTGTAAGCAGCTAGCTTATTTACAGGAAACTTTAGAGTTATGGAGTTTTCTGTCATTTAATGACAGTTGTTTAAACTTTTCATACCACATGAAGAGTTTTTCATTACAGTTCATTTCCTTCTGTTATGTAAAAGAGACTCCATGTTTCAGCATAATATTGGTAGGGTGTGTTTTAGTTGTAAATACATACATAGATGCATATTCTAAAAGTGGGTACGCTTTTTAAGAAGGTTCTCAAAAAAAATAATTATTTAAAAAATCAAATAGAGTCACTCTGAGGTTTAAAAGTAGCCTAGAAGAGAATTGAGACGGCTTGAAATACCTTTGACCCAAAATGTCTTGCGAGGGCAGAGCTTCCCTACTGCAGTTTATTCTGCTCTAGCATCTCATTAAAGTCAAAGAGCTGGGAGCATTCATAGTAGCAGTTTCAGCATGAAGGGCTGTTTATCTTGCTTTTGGAGCAGTCTTTTTTCCTCTACAGCTGTGGAAATGGTCCCCTAAGTTTGCGATGATCAAGGAAGGCAGACTTGGAATTGATGTGGAGCTGCTAGATGGGATGTATGAAAAGATGACGCCCCCTAACTACATAGTTCACCAGAATAGCCCTGAAGGTGGGCATGAAAAGGAAAGCTGGAACAGCCAGATGCAGCTTTTGATTAGCTTAGGATAAATAAACTGCTATACCCCAAGTAGCAAAGTAACAGTTTGGGATACATGCAATTTTAAAAACATCACTCGTCTTGGAAATGGATTCATAACTTCCAGGTCACAAATGAATGAGTGTCTGTTCTGTATTTCTGAATTAATTGTGGCTACTTTAGGTCTCATTTGAGGTAACACATCATGCTCATTAAACTGGTGGAGCTCTGAAAGCTCTAGATACAAGTATAAGCTACAGAATTAATGACTTTTTAGCTTCAGTACTGCTCCTTCCTGGCATTGTCAGGTAACGTTAACATGGAATTCTTTGTCCCTGGCAAGGTTTTTTTGTAGTCCAAGTTTAATTTCACACCTCATTTGAGGTGGTAAGGATATTCACAGCTTTGCAGCTATTCAGCTGGAGTGATCGCTCTACGTTGATGCATTTATGTAATTGCTGTTTTCAGCTTTGCTAATTGTATGCAGGATATCATGCTAAGCCTTTTTTTTTGTTGTTGTTAAAAAAAAAAAAAAGAACAATCCTGATTTATATATTTCATTCACTGTTAGTTGATTTCAACAATTCCAACCAGCCGTCTGAAATTCCTCAAAGAAGCTGGTCATGGAACACAAAAGGAAGAGATTCCTGAAGAAGAACTAGCAGAAGATGTAGAGGAGATTGATCATGCTGAGAGAGAATTGCGTCGTGGTCAGATCTTGTGGTTTAGAGGCCTAAACAGAATACAAACTCAGGTATGGTCTTGAAAAAGGTAGGACACAGTGGGTTTTATGAGGGAAATCTCTCCACCTCCAGCCCTTTTGACTAAGGTGGCAGTTCTAAGTGGTGTGACTGAGACTGTCAAAAGGGGGTATGGGTGGATGCGTAATCCCTCAGGGTCCTCTGTTTTCTTCAGCTTTAAATGCAACTCTTGCCTATGTATCTGCTCTATTTTTAAAAAAGTGCCTTTTTTTCTTTACTTTTTTGTGTGTTATAGATGGGATGGTCCTTTCTCTTGTTCTCTCTCTCTCTTGCTGAGCAAGCTGTCACAATCTCTGATTCCTTGCAGATGGATGTAGTGAATGCTTTCCAGAGTGGAAGTACCATTCAGGGGGCTCTAAGGCGGCAACCCTCCATCGCCAGCCAGCACCATGATGTAACAAATATTTCTACCCCTACACATGTAGTGTTTTCCTCTACTACTGCTTCTACTACTGTGGGGTGTGAGTGTGTGTTCCTAAAGTGCATGAAATTAACATTTCCTAATTCACGTACCTAACGTTTCTCATTTTCTCCTTAGTACTTAAAATCATCGTTCAGGCTTTTATAGAGCTCTTCCACAAAGTGGAGTCCTCGAGACTTTTTTTTTCTTAGAGGGCTGAGAACAGGTGGAACAATTTCAACAAGACTTTAATGTGAAAGCTGTGAGCCTGCACATCCTGTGCCTTCATCCATTCGTGTACAGAGGGATTTTTAAGATAAACAGGGAAAACTGTTGTAAATTTTCGAGTATATGCCTCATAGGGTGACTTACATTGTATAAGTGAATTAACTGTATAATCGTGGACCCAGGCCAACAAAAATAGATCTCTTACACTGCAGTACAATACTTAAATAAGCAAGCTGATTTGGAAGCAAATGATATGTTGAAAATATGAATGTAGTTAGAGCATGGAGCACTAAATGCATTTTCTTTGTAGCATGTGAGGAACTTTATGAATCTCTGCTTTCGTTGGACCTTATTTACTGAATAACAGCTTTCTCAACATCAGGATTCAGGTGGCAAAACAAGGCTTCTAAAATGCATACAAGTCAGAAGAAATATGTTATTAGCTAATATAAAAAGAAAAAAAATGTTTAAGCATTAAATGGGGAAACTTCCATTCAAATCTGAAGGGTTTTTTTTCCTCTCTAGGTTCTTCGGGGAGCAGTTCATAAGCCATCAGTGAAAGAGAAGTTTGTGTCACCTTAATTCTGCCCTCTCTATATTGTGCTATTAAGTGGCGTTTCAGTTTCAGCCTTCCTCTCTGTAGAGGCTAGAGATTTAATTACTCTTGGATGTAGGCCTAAACTCTGGAGCCTGAAGATGCATAGCAGTTGTAGTTAAATACTGATAGCCAATATCTTTGCTAAAAGAATTTTCCATCTTAATTATATATCACGTTTAACTTCCTTCTTTTAACTTCCTTCTCTAACTTCCTAGAGATCTGGTAAATAATTGTTTTTTAAAATAGCTCTGAGAGGGCTTCTTCTCCCTCTTCCCCTACCCACTTAATCTTTCAGATTACCAGGTGGATGAAGACCCTTAATTTCAGGAGCTGTCTTAAATGAAATAGTCTCTTCAGGTTTTTTTTTTAATTTGTTGGTTTTTATGTTTGGGCTTGGCCAGAATTTGCGTGTGAGCTTGCACAAGTGTTTGACACTGTATTTGTTCTCCATTGGTGAGACAGCTATTTCCCTACCTTGCAGTATTATTGAGAAGCTCTGCTCACAAATTTGCATGCCTCAAGAACACAAAATGAAGCACAGGATTGCATCTCCTAGTTAAAATGCTAATTAGTAACCTGTATCCCTAACTACACTCCAGAACATTAATTAGACATTCAGAATTCTCTAGAGAGCAATGTCATTCCATGCTGCTATTTGAGCAGAATCTACTGGGCACTGCAGCATCTCATTGCATCAAATGACCAATGCAGATACAGAGCTACATTGGGAGAGAAGTAGTTTTTTATCCTCACGAAGTGGTACAGCCTTCTGCTACACTCTCTAGAAGGACAACTTTTGATAGCTAATATATGTATTAATGGGAAGCAGATGTGTTACCGTCTCTCTTTTGGAACTATTTGTTGGAAGAAAGTTCAGCTTTTCCTATGAAGGTTGCAACTCTTAAGCAGCTGTCTGGCTAGGACGACTTGGAGTGCTTACTGCATTCCATGCTATTCTGGTACTTATATGAGCAAGGCCTGATGACAGTATAAATTACACTTAACAAATTGTCTTGTTTGCTCCTCACTTATGCAATTTATTTATAGTTATCCCTCTAGTCTAATTATTGTGAGTAGTTGAAAAGAAAGCCTTAAAAATGCTAGATTTTACCCTTTTAAAATATAGCTTAAAATGCTGATAGTTTGATTTCTGTCTTTACGGCTGGACTCTTTGATGGTCCTAGGTTTGCTGGAGTGTCTAGTCCACTTAGGTAGTATGCATTTTGCATGGAAACGGAACCTTTATTGTGGGTATGTTTATATTCTATGATAATTACAGCTGTCCTGTTAAGCCAAAAATTGTTTTCCATTACTACTGATGTTCTAACTTCTCATCTGTTAGCAATAAAAAAACGTCCCAGGAGACATTCATATTTCATGTTGCCACATAAATGGCACAGTGGGATGCAACATGCCAAATAAAGGCATTGCAAACTTTCAGTCTGACACTGTCACTGCTAATTTTCTTGGTAAGTGCCAAGACAGTTTATGCAGCTGGCTGGACTTGTTTAAACCTCATGTAACGCACCAACTCCTTGACAGCGTGCTCAATTTTTTCATGGGATGAACAGTTAAGTACTAGCTGCTCTTGTAATCTTTTCTCTAGCACATTCAGCCTATTGCCTGTCATCCCTTTAGTGATAGTTATGTCCTCCCCCTTGCGTGCGTACCCCACCCCTGTATTGTCCCCGCACCCCCTGTGCCCTCTTCCCCGTCTCCATGGTGAATTGGGCTCAGCATGAACCTGTAGTATAAAAATGGGGACACGATAGCTTTTGAGTAAAATTCTTTGTGCAAGTGGTCTGAGGGAGGAGCTGTGGGGAAACAATGCTATTTCTAGAGGTCAGGACATAAGACTTTATCATGTGCAGTGATTCTGTTTAACAAATTTGATTTAATGCATTGCTTTTGGGGATCCCTTCTCTGTTTACAGTGAACTTCCTTGTTGTATCTTAGCTGCTTTGAAGTCTGTGCTCTTGATCTGCTTGACCTTCCAGCCTCATTCCTTCGCCTGGAAGTCACTTTATTTTTACTATCACGGAACAGTATGGAAGTACTAGTCATGATGTATTTCTCAGCTTGAAACAGGTCATCTTGGATGTGCTAAAAAAAGCTTTAAATTTGACTTGCTGTTTGTAACAGTAAGTTCTTATTTACTACGGAGTTGCTCTGCTGCTTACTGTTTAACACTATTTGACACTGCTTTGCTGGAGACTTAAGGATGTTGAGATTGAATGGGGAGTTAACAGAAGGCGGAAACTGTATATTGGCAGAAGTGTTGGACAAAGAGGTCACGGACTTGGTTTATCAGTTCAAGAATGAATCCTGAATTCCTGTAGTTGGTCAGGGAGATGTGGGACTTTAGAGAAGGGGGGTGTGGGCAGCTGGTTTGATCATTCAAATTACAATTTGAAATTCAAGTCAACCTAGACATGCACAATTAGTAAAATGAAGCTGTTCTTTTAACTATGAAAGGTTTAGCTATGAATCTGTAAGCTTTCGGATTTGAAAAATATTAAACAATATAAAGATACAAAACAATACTCAGCCTGGGAATTTCATCCATGAATTCAAGGTAAATTGAAGACTCGAGCAAAGGCTGATCACCCTGCTTTTCTCATACTTGTTGGCACTTAAGTAGTCTCTTCAAAGTTACAACCTGTCCTGGCTACTAAACTGTACAATACACTGTTGAATTTCATAGTGCTGGTCTTAAGTTTCTAAAGCACTATTCACTAAGGAACTTTCTATAGTGTGGTAAATGGGTATATACTCGAATTTTTACAGCTGTTATAGTGCTATCCTTTTTTGCATGACTTCGTTAATGTTCAGTCATTGTGACATTGGCTTACACTTGCTTGGCTTTTTCATAGTCAGTTGACATCCTAATTCCTAGCATGAGAATTAGTAACCCTTTTTATCCCCTAACTTATTTTCAGCATATCCCTCCTTCTGTCCCTCCAATCTCCCCCAAGTATTCAATAAAACACTCATTAAGATTTATGTAATTTGTAAAGAAGTAAATAATTGTTGGCCTCACTTCTGAAAAATGCTTAGCCCATGTTAAATAATTGAACAATTCTGGTGCCACGTCTGAATTTTTAGGGCCCTTCAGCTTTTTGCATTACTTTCACAATTTTTATTCCTACTGTGTAGACTGGCAGTGCTCTACTGAAATGCTCTTCATTTTTTACAGTTTATTGCAAGTTCCACTGCATCATACAAATTCGATTCACTCATGTCTAGCTGTTTGTGGATTCAAACTCATAAGAACCATGCCATTACCAGTAAATCTGCAGCATTTTAACAAGCTTTTTTTCTTTGTTTGCAGATCCGAGTGGTGAATGCATTTCGTAGCTCCTTGTACGAGGGGCTAGAGAAACCTGAGACACGAAGTTCAATTCACAATTTTATGACGCATCCTGAGTTTAGAATAGAAGACTCCGAACCTCATATTCCCCTTATTGATGATACTGATGCTGAAGATGATGCGCCAACAAAACGCAACTCTACTCCCCCACCCTCTCCCAATAAAAATAACAATGCGGTTGACAGTGGAATTCACCTTACAACAGACATGAACAAGTCTGCTACCTCTTCATCCCCAGGAAGCCCACTACATAGTTTGGAAACATCACTCTGATTGTAAGCTGAATGTTAACACACTAGCTGCTTTGTAAAGAAATTGAAACTGGGTCTCTTCACACATTATGATGGACAAGATGATATTCTTGTCTTGGACTTCAACAGAAGACACACTTGTACGAATGTAGATTTATTTTTTTAAAAAAAGCTTTCTGCCAGACTGGAGGGTGCTTTTCTGGGGGTGGGAGTAATAATGAACTCTGACAGATAAACAGTAACTCGGCATAAGTGACCTGTGGATCATCTGTTGTACTTAAGAATGATCCTGAAGAGTGTGTTAGCAGAGCTTTAGTTTATCATGATCCTTTTCTGAGGGGAAGGCTGGGAAGGTCAAGGAGGCCCTGGATCATTGAATTGATACTTTAATTTCTGCTGTTGGCTGTTAATAATTTGGATTATTTATGTTTATAAATGATACAGATCTGTTTACAAGGTTTGTAGATACTTTTTTGTTCCTGTTCATAGATGGGAAGCTTCCTTATAAATGATGCAGAGAAGAAAACAAAAGAAAACAAAAAAAAATAAAAAAACAACAAAAAAAACTAGTCCTTCAAATACTGCTGTATTTTCAGGAAAAGGGTGTTTCTATTGAAACTGTACTAAATTTTGCCTGCAATTTACCTTGTTAAATATTGTAGATAAATTGCTACTACTAATAGCCAAATAGATAACACTAATGCTTTGTAAAAACATGAGCAGTGGTGTTCTAATGAAGTTATGGCCTCTGTCCTAATTAGTTTCTTAAATACATTTACTACTTAATGGTTTTGAAACAACTGTTTAATTTTTAAAAATTTTGAGAAACTTAATGAATAACTTTTGTTCAGAACTTAGGATTGTTTAATGCAGGACATCAATATGTGATGGAACTTGCTTGAAATATTTCTGTTATCTCGGGCAAAATGGATTAAATCAAAATACATCAGAATCTTAGTCCTTTGTTTTTGTCTAATCATGTTAGTTTAGTGCTGTCTTGGTGAACTGTGAGTGGAACTGTGATTTTTTTCTAATCTATAGAATCCTTCATGCAGCATGAGGGCTGTTGGCATTTTGAAAGGTTGTTAGTGGGTAGCATACATGTTCTCCTTTTTGTTTTTGAAACTTGTTTGTAAACATGAATAAATCTGCCCTTTTGTTAAAATAAAATTGCAGCAATGGTTTCTTACAGATCTTTTTTTCTCAGCTCCTTCACTGGAAATATGGAAAAGTACTCTTCTGTATTACTGGTTAACTTTAAACTGCAATTTCAAGATGGTAACAGCCCCACTCCAGATAGTACTTTGGGTAAATGGAATCATGGCGGCTGCCTCCAGAATGAATGTGTAAGCTAAGATACTCAAAAGTCTTCACTGAACAAAAGGATACTCCTTGAGAATGAATAGGTCTGCCTGAAATTCCGAGACTTCCTGTGAGTACTGTGTAATAAATGTATCCCTGACAATTTAAGTGAGGGGAAACTGAGAACTGACATATAGCATGCGTGAAACGCACCAGAACTGACAGATTGACTGAAGTAGTTACGGTGTTGTTCAAAGACCAAAAGATGATCGAACAGTACTTTATCTGGCATTTTCTCATGCTTTCTAGGTCTAATACTGCTTAGAAGAGCAACAGAAGGGAGGAGTCATAAACTTTTTTTTTCCCAGTTCTGTATTCTTTGAAATAGCGAGTGAATTTTTTTGTCAAATAATCCAGAATTTTTAAAAGAGTCCTTTCAAAGGAGTGCAGGAATTAAGTTGGTAATGGGGAAGGCGATAATACCAGAGCAATCTGCAGAAATTAGCAGATTGGGAAGCTCAAGCAAATCTTTCCCTTGTGGTGGGATACATCCATGCTTGAGTTTGTCCTTTAGAGGCTAATGTTCAACCTGTAGCACTGTATCCAACTGTCAACCACTCCTGAATTCAGTCTTTTCTGTTGTACTTCAGTAAATACACTGAATTTTAGGCAATGGGGGGGGGGGTTTGCACTTGACACTTTGTATAGTAATTTTTCCCATGTGTTTCTAGCACTTTTCTTACATCATAGTTCTTATATAGAGTGCTTGGTAGGGGGATCAGTTTTTATATAAGCTGTTCACTTTCTACTACAAAAGTTGGATAAGCACTTGCTTAAAATGAGAATTTTCTTTAGCCATGAAAAACACTGCCATGTGAAAAAGTATCTTCATTTAACTTCATTAATGAGTAATAATTTGACTTCATTTGAAAACCAGACTTAAATTTTTCCCTCTCCTCTAGATGTGGTCATGACTGCATGTTATATTTTTGGAATAAAATTTGCACTTAAGTCTTTTGCTGGGGGGTGGGAGGGTGAATGTAGGCTTTGTACATCAGTAGTCCCTCTTGATTCTGTTAACATCAGTGTGCTGTTCCTACAGGAAAATTTCCTTATAGAAATGAGGAAAAGTTGTTTTAAGAGGGGGTGTGTTTTCTACGTCATCTCAAGAAATCATAACGTTGCCTAGATTATTAAGTGGTTTTCACTAAGGTCATGAGGCCTTCATTGCCTTTCTGGTTGTAAGGTTTACTTGTCTTTCTTCTTGTAATTGAAATAAATAAAAGTGCTGTTCATCTCAGTCTGTATGAGGACTGAAATTCTTGAATGTCAGTATAGTACTGATTTAAACCTGAAATACATGCCAATTCTATAAAATAGCTCTTGCTACAACTTTAAGCTCATTCGCTTTCAAGAGGTATATATGGTATATATGGTATACATGGTCAAGTAATAGCAACTTTGAACATAAGCTCAGTTCTAGACTGACTGCTGTTTTAAGTGGCTGAAAATGCTGTTTCCTGGGTAGGATGTCTGTTATAGTTGCGTATAAGGCAAATGTTAGGACACCTCATCTTGGCTTTGAAGGAGGGATGAAACTTGTCATATAAGAGCACTCATTTTTTCTCTATTGGTCTTAACAGGAAGAGGAAAATGCTGTATCATAGAGTAGTCTGGAGAGAATAATGCAAACAAATGCCTTAATGCCAAACCAATGGGTAAATGCAGAATTTGCAGCAAGTATAAGCAGACAAAAATATAAACTAACATACTCAGTGACTTTCTAAGAATAACAGGAAGTTTTCCAATGTGTTTTGAAGTAAGGAAGCAAGTGTAATATTCATGGAAGGATAATTTGTGTATGGCTGACTGTATTGGGAAGTTATTCCAAAGGCCTGATAAGTTCACTTGCTACTGCTAGTAGTTTCAGCCTCTGCAGAGCTCTAGAATAATCCAGATCATATTAAGAATTACATGAATTAAAGCAGAACGTCTTTATGTTCGTACTGCTTTTCTGATGCAAATACTTTGTTCCAAAGAGCTCCTGCTTTTTTCCACCTCCACCCTCTCCCCCAGTAGTGCATATCTTCTACTCTTACAGATTTCCAGCCCTCACCGAAGTGAGCCTGGCCAACATGGAGGGTCCAGCTCCAACTTATCTCCATTGGCCTCCTTATTCAGGGCCACGTAATGAGAAATTCTGGGCCAGAATAAAGAGCCTTAGAGCTGTTCCTACTTCCCTTCTCCCCTGAACTGTATACAGAGCTACCTAACCACCCTCCTCAGGAGACTGCAGCATCCATCAAGGAGACATGACTTACACAGTGTCTAAACCAGAAGCCTCCTACAGGTACTACTTGTCCTTTATGCTCAAAGAAGAGGGTATGCTTAGAAAATTATGAGATGGGCTTAGACATGTGAAAGAGGACAGCATGTAAAAGGTAGCTCACTAGACAGTGAGTCTTTACTACTGTTAATGTGCACCTAACATCTAGTTTGCTACAAAATCTGTACAATTATTAGGCTGAAAAGGGTTCCTTGGCTTGCCCCTACTAGAAGACAGTGGAAATTAAGCCTTGGAAAAATAACTAGCAGGAGTATTTCTGGGAATTAACAGCTTTTGGTGGAAGTGTACATTCTGGAATACTGGAAGATCACCTGACATCTCATATTCTGGTGTAGTGACAAATGTCAATCCATATGTGAAGCAGTAGTTGCTCACTGAAATGGAAGTATGCATCCTGTATCCCTCTGAGTCATTGCAAAGCTAGTAGTAGCATCTAACTCTTCGGAATATCTTCATTGGCTTTCCTAGGCTGCCTCTCTTGCAGGGCATGAAGCTGAAGTAAGCTGGAAGACTATGATCATACAGAAAACTTACTATGTCTTCCTCCTTGGCAAAGGCACAATCTTGGCATTGCCCTATGACGACTGCTAAGGCACAGAGTGAATATGACTTTTCATGTTTTAAAGTTTTCAGTCTCTTGCAGAGAATCAGAGTGTATAGTTCAAATGCTTTGTGTGAAAAGCCTCCTAAAACTTCTGATTTAGAGTACAACAAAAATCCAAAGCCGCCCTACAAGTAAACCCTAGAAGACTTGTTTGTTATCTTTGACAATTTCGGTTGTACAAATACAGGATTTTAACTTGATGTTCTCAGTCTACCACAAGTTGTTTGCTCTGACAGCTGAAGGTATGAAGCCTCTTCAGTTATGACCTAAGGTGGTCTCAAGATCTCAGGAAGGTAAGCCTCTATTTGGCTGATGTTTGTGGGGAAATCCATAGCTTATTTTGTATACTGTGCTGGCAGCTACTGCATAGTGTTTTGTGCTATGTACTTCAGGAGAGAATCTACAAAATGGACTTTACAACATTCTATCCTTGTCATAGGACCTGTCGAAGGATACATGAGTTAGGCACAGATTACATGAAATAGGAAATTCTCTGAACTGATATTTTGGTAGGAAGCAATAGGATTTGCTTTTGGACAACACTACTTTAAAGATGGAAGGTATATCTTTACTCACTTGCCATGTATTTCTCATTAATATTCTGATCAGGGCAACAATTTAATTCATTGAGAACCATCATCCAAAAAGCACTCAAATTAATGTTTTTAAATAAAAAAAAACACTCTGGAAAAGGTAGTTTCTGTCAAACTTAAATTAAAAAAAATGGGTTATTACCAGCTTTTTTTCCTTTTGCCAAATCAATTAGGCTCTGTTCTAATAAACCTAGCAGTATATAGACATGACATAAAATATCTCCTTCCTTTCTTCTCCCTTCCATTCTGACAAGGACGATTATAGGGAATCAGTGAAGGTGCAATTGTGGATTTGTCTCCTTTTTCATCTTTCTCTCCTGACTTTTGATCTTCTCTTCTACTTTCTAATCTTGCTTAATCTGCTTCTTCCACTCTTTAGTTGGTGTGAAGGCTTGAAGGATTAGGTTTTAGACTAAGAATGAACATAGAAGGAGCAGTAGAGAATGAACATTTAAGACCGAATGATTCCCCCAGATAGTTTGTAAAATACCCTTTACCTAGCTGGGACCTTGATGTTCATTCATAACTCTGAGCCTGCTTATATGAAAGCACTTTGGTATACAGACATGGTTCTGCTCTACATTGTGGTACTTTTGTCATGTTTCAAGATGTACAGAATGCTGAGAATTGGGGTAACACTTTCAATTTTAAGCCTTGGGCAGGAAATCATTTTGTCCTGCCAGGTATATCTTGAAGATCCACTTCTAAAGACCTAAGGGCAGGGCTTTTGAAAATATGCATAAAAGGCCTATGAGGACTTAATAGGCAAAATACCTATGAAGGCCTTGTATGGTAGCCAGCTAATATAACTTCTGTTTGAACAAGCATAGTGATCCTGACCTGCAGCCCCTGTACACAGAGGAGTAATCAATCCACAACTGAATTAACATAAGCAGGCACAGGCTGTGCTGCACTGCACAGATTCCCCTGCTCAACAGCCCCTCTTGCTCTCCACCACCCTACCCCAAGAACAAACCTTAAGCTCTTCAGTGGTATAGGGCTCTATTTGGCCACAATTGTGCATGTGTGATGGGTAGAATCACAGGAGGGAGCAAAGCTCTTCTCAGTGGTGCCCACTGACAGGAGAAGAGGCAACAGGCACAAGTGACAGCATGTGAAACTGCCTGAACACAGGAAAATACACAGAGAGGTTATGGAGTCTCCATCCTTGGAGATGCTCAGAACCCAACTAGACACAGCTCTGAGCAACCTGCAGTAGCTGATGCTGCTTTTAGCAGGGCTTGCAGTAGATGGTCTGCAGAGGCCCCTGCCAGCCTTGGCCATTCTGTAATCCTGAAATTCTTGGAGGAGGTGTAATTCTATAGGG